GAATCAACAGCACTTAACAGCAATTTTGTTACTCATTTAATATCTTTGTACCTCACTTTTTTCATATTTACAAACATAGATAATAGCTTCTCTTCTTTCTCATAGATATTCCTAGGTAGCACAAATGGTTAAGTGCTAGACGACTAGTTAAAAGGTTGGTGGTTCAGACCCACATAGAGACACCGTGGATGACTGTCCTGGTGATCTGCCTCTGAAAGATCAGTCTCAAAAGCCTTATGGAGCAGTTGTATTCTTCAATACACGGGAACTTCATGAGTTGGAATTGACTTGATGGCAACTGGATTTCTTTTATTTTTGATATCTTCCTCATAGAATTGTCATAAGAATGAAGTTAAAATACAGTTTCAAGGAGTATGAAAATCTTAGTTTGTCATTAGAGGAAAATCTTTTTTGTTTCTCTAATACGTGGATGGGGAACCTTTTTTTCTGCCAAAATTTATAGCATCATTCGTCGGCCCTACAAAATGATCAATTTAAAAATTAGCCTGCTATGTTTGGTCAAACATTTAATTGTTGTTGTAAAGTGCCATTAAGTTGATTCCGACCCATAGCTAGCCTATATAGGGCTTCCAAGGAGCAGCTGGTGAGTTTGAACTGCCGACCTTGCAGTTCAAGCTACTTTGTAGTCTGACACATTAGCCCACAGCGCCACACCAGGACTCATCCTTAGTGTGATGCAGGAGTCCTGGTGTGGTGCTGTGGGTTAACGCGCCAGACCTCAAAGCTGTTTGAACTGTAAGGTCGGCATTTCAAACTCACTAGCTACTCCTAGGAAAACCTATACAGGTTCGCTATGGGTTGGAACTGACTCACAGCACTTTACAATACAAAAACAACAATGTGATGCAATGTGATGGCTGAACAAACTTGATCGCAGTTAACAACAATGTGATGACTAGGAGCACTGGTGTGGTGTGTTGTAGGGTAAGTACTCGACTGCAAGTTTGGTTTGAACTACACTCACTATGCTCCTTGGAAACCCTATACAAGGTTGCTATAGGTTGGGACTGACTGGATGGCACTTAATTACTATGTGATAACAGGAACTATGATTGCTTGGCAGGGCTAAACCAAATGATTTTGTGGGCCTTATAGGGTCTGTGGGCTGGACATTCCCCATCTCTGCTCTAATAAAACATTATTTTATTATATGCATGGTGCTGTAGGATTAGCACTGGACTGCTACCCACAGTAATAGCAAGTTCAGCAGTTCAAACGCACTAGCTGCTCTCGGAGTCCCTATACAGGGTCACTATGAGTTGTGACCAACTCAACAGCATACAACACCACAATATAATATTAAAATTCATTTGTAAATAACAAAACTGTTATTTAGACCTTATTTGAAACTACAATGTAAAATACATGTATTTCTTAACAGGAAAATGCCTACAGAGTCCGTTGGAAAAATCAGTTTATTGATTTTCACACAGATGAACTACTTAGATGTAAATGTCAAAGCAAATCTCCACAGAGTCTCTATGATATCTAGAGTTATTAATTTCTTATGTCTTGCCCTTTTTTTTTTTCTTTTTTTTTTTTTGTTATTTAACTACCAGAGAGACCAGTGTGGTCTTCCCTTGTTTTTATTTAGTTATGGGGAAAATAGAAATCACATCTCTCAGGTTTGTCTGTTCTGCTGTCATCAATATAGTAATCTGTGGACAGGCTGGAGACGCCTCTGGATATGGGATTTTACTTCTCCTCTAGGTCCTCATTTAACTTGTTCTGGAATCCTGGTTAGTCTATCTGCAAGTTGCCTTTTCTCAGAGAAACAATTAACAACATCAAACATGGGTTGATGTTGTTAATTGCCTTCGAATTGGTTCCACTCATAGCTACCCTTTATAGGGTTTTTGAGAAGAGGCCAGTGGGTTTGAGCCACCAAACTTGTGGTTAGCAGTCCAGTACTTATCCTACGGTGCCACACCAGGATTCCATGGATAGAGAGACTTAACACTAAACAACCATTTCTAGTTTATGGTAAGAAATACTATGAATTAATCTTCATCATTACACTAATGCATTACCTTTATAGTGTCTAAGGGCTTTTTTGAGGTCCTGATGTGGTGCTGTACAATAACAGCAAGGTTGGTGGTTCAAACCCACCAGCTGTTCCCTTATACAGGGTCGCTATGAGTTGAAATGACTTGATGACACTTAACAACAACAACAAAAAGGCTTTTGTGTTCATTATTTCATTTGGGTACATGATTATTGAACAAAATGACCTACTTTATGCTTAAACCGTTTATTTATGAGGTGGAAAACACAGAAAAGTGCAAAGCAGAACATGAGACCATAATCCTATATGTCAACACTGGTAAAAGTTTTGAATATTTTCTTCCTGCCTTTTCTATATATGTTTATATAGCTGAACTGATATTATATCTGCCATTTAAGTGCTAAAGTTCTTTTTATTTTTTTGATTATGATAGAAATCTTTGCCATTTACAGAAACTTTGGAAAAGCTGCAGAAAATAAAAGCCTAAACCTAAAATTAAAAACCACTTACAACTTAACTAATGAAGAATAATGAACATATCCTTTTGGTGTATTCCTTCTAGTATTTTACTCTTTTTTTAAAATCTTAGAACGTGATTGAGATTATACCAAGGGAAAAGTGCTTGGGAACAGACATCTTATCTAGTCCAGGGGATTGGAAGCTGCTGATCTGCACTCTTCTTTCTGGACTGGGGATGCTGTGTGCCATCTAGTCGTTTCCAACTCATACCAACCCTATATGACATAATAGAAATTATTATTTTCCTTTAAGTTTCTTTATTCAGTATTCTAAGCAGAATCTTGAGCCCTTGTGTGGCGCTGTAGGATAAGTACTGAACTGCTAACTGCAAGATCAGCAGTTCAAACCCACCAGTCCCTCTCGGGAACCCTGTACAGGGTCGTTACGAGTCAGGACCGACTCCAGAGCAAACAACATTCAGACTCGCACACTGCTCTTTACTTGCACTGGTTCCGAACATCTCCAAGGTTCATGACACCTGCCCCTATTTCACCAGGTTATCCTTGAAGGTTTCTGGAGTCAAAGGGACGTCCTTGTCCTCCCACCTGCTCCTTGACTTCACCTTCTCCTGCGATGACGGAGGAGGTGGTGGAGGCCACTAGTGTGAAGTCTCAAAGGGAACTTCAAACTCAAGCAACAGAGTCAGAGCCCTTGCCCCGTGGCGTCAGAAGGTCAGGAGAGCCCCGGAGCCCCACATGTAGACTCAGTGTCTCCCTGTGGAAGGGTTAAGACTTGAAGAGATCTTCATCACAGCTAAATCCCTTGTCTCAGGGTGGCAGCCGCTCGCTTGGCGCCTGGAGCAGAGAAGCTACTCCTTTCTCTCCTCTCCTAATGTTATCAAAGCATCCTCCATGCTACTACATTTGAGGAAGAACTTTTCCAATTGCAAGAAGGCTGCTAGGCCCCAGGTCCGCACTTCGCCTCTTGGGAGGTTAGGACTGAGACCAGATCCTCTCCGTGTCGCTTTGCAAACTGGGAGAAGTGCGTCCCTTCTCGCTTGCCTTATGCCTGGTGAGGCGGGGACCGCACTACTATGCAGCTTGTCAGAGGGGGAAAGTTTCCCTTGCATCCCTCTACATTCTAATGGCCCCCATTAGCTTTCGGAAACCAACGTTAAGACTACTATTGTCAGTATTCTATTGCCCTGGGAGTCCTTATAGGAGGCAGGGACGACTGTCTGCGCCAACTAAGCAGTGGACGTGCCCCTCTTCTCCCCCTTAGTTCGGCTGGACAATCCTGGACTGCAGCGCCTGCAAGTCGCCGCCAAGCTTCCCAGTCTTTGACAGCTTGTCGCGAGCACCTTCGGGACTCGATCCCAGACTCCGGGGGCGGGGCGGGGCGGGGTGAGCTTGTTGGGGGCGGGGCGAGCGCGAGCCTGAGCGCCTGGAGGGAGCGCGCGAGCGAAGCCGAGCCGAGTCGAGCCGAGCCGAGTCGGGAGGCGCCGCGGAGAGGCAGGCAGAGCCCGGCCGCCCGCCTGCGGCTCAACGCCGACCGTGCAGCGTCGCTGGGCTCAGCGTACATCCGCCTCTGCCCAGGCTCCCGCAAAACTTTTATTCTCTGGGTCCCCAGGGGTGTGTGAAGGACTCGGAGTGCTTGGCCGGCACCACGATCCCCTGCAGTGGCGGCCGAGGGGACGTGCATCCCTCGCCCGCCCGCTCTCGCTCCCAGCGCTTCCTCACCTGCTGCTTGCTCCCAGGAGCTGCAAGGGGCACCCCTGGAGGGACCGCGCGTGAGCCGGCGCCCCGAACTCTCCCGCCCACCGCAGCGGACCCGCCCGATCGCAACTTTAAGTTGATTCTTCTCGCCAAGCCCTGGTACCAGCAGCTGTCGCCGCAGCCGCTGCTGCTGCCGTCTCAGCCGCCGCCGCCTCACAAAGGGGCGCAGGGAGGGGAGGCGGCGCCGCAGGCGGCGGGCACGGGCGCCGGTGCGCAGGGCGCGGGCCTCGGAGCAGCCGAGGCGGGAGACAAAAGGGAAACTGCCTCGGCTCGCAGTGCCTGCTCGGAGCAGCCTGCTCTCCAGCTTCCCGTTCGGCTCCGCGCGCCTGTTACCCAACCCTTAGCCGCCGCTCTGCCTCCCTCCCCGCGGGCTGTCCCCGCAGTGTTCCCGGACTCGGAGAGCCTTCGGGGCGCGCGTGGCTGCTGGTGTTTGGGGCTCTAGCGATAATAAATGATAGAGGATACAATGACTTTGCTGTCTCTGCTGGGTCGCATCATGCGCTACTTCTTGCTGAGACCCGAGACGCTCTTCCTGCTGTGCATCAGCCTCGCGCTGTGGAGTTACTTCTTCCATACCGACGAGGTGAAGACCATCGTCAAGTCCAGCCGGGACGCCGTGAAGATGGTGAAGGGCAAGGTGGCAGAGATCATGCAGAACGACCGGCTCGGGGGGCTTGACGTGCTGGAGGCCGAGTTTTCCAAGACCTGGGAGTTCAAGAGCCATAACGTGGCTGTGTACTCTATCCAGGGTAGGAGAGACCACATGGAGGACCGCTTCGAAGTTCTTACGGATCTGGCCAACAAGACGCATCCGTCCATCTTCGGGATCTTTGACGGGCACGGGGGCGAGGTAGGACTTCCCCAGGACTTTATTTCTGTCTCCCTTTCCCCCTCTCCGTGTGTAAACAACAGCGTGTTGTGTGCGCGGCGGGCTTGGACCTGGGTGCGAGGGGCGTGGTGATGACCTGGTACTGCGCTGGACAAAGCCACTCGGTCCAATGTGGCTCAAGTTGCCCCAAACACTCTTTTGTCCAGGTCTTTTAGGCTGAAGGTCCGATTTGGGGAAGAGACATCCACAGCCTGTTTTGTGCCTCGTAATTTATGAGTGCAAGTGACTGTGCTAGTTTTTTTTTGAAATTAACTGCAAGAATTAATGATACCTCCTTGAACTTTAGCTTCGGGCCTCAGTGCCCTTGTTCTCGGGTTTGGGGCCCAGCTCAGCACAAGGCAGGAAGAAAATATCTTTGATGCTCTATTAGGGAAAAGACACTAAATCAGAGCGAAAGAAGCTCCTTCCCATCTTTGGGGATAAACCCGAGGGGCAACAGTGCGCTTCTTCCGAACTCCTTCAACTTTGTGTAAGTGCAGTCGGACCAGTTGACTGGAGCGCCTTGCTGGCCGCCTTATTTTAGCTGAATCGCACTCGGGACTGAGATGTCCCGGCCTTTGCAGAGGTGGCAATGCCCGCAGAGGAGGCGGTGCCCAGACCTCACTCCTCTTCTTTGGTCGGCGTGGGGCCCCAGACGTTTCCCCGCTTCTATACTCCTTTGTTTGGGCTTCATCTGTGAGCAGGAAAGGGGGCTAGAAACCGGTTCAGATCCCTCTCGCACATTTCTGTGGCACACAGGGTGCGCGCTAGGGTTCAGGTTCAGGTTTTCCTGGAGGACCCGGCGAGGGTTTGATTCAGTTCGAGGGCATCGAGCTCAGGCTGATGAGGGGGAGAATATGGCTTCACTTACTCCGGGTCAACCCATCTTTCTTAATTTTGCAGTTTGTAACAGTTTAATTGCTGCATACTTTTTTTTTTTTTAAGATGATGAAGAGGAGCGTATTTCACTCCAACCCTCACCGAGTCCTAAACCCATTTGCCCTCTTGCAAATTTCCCACCCCCAACTGTATTCTGGGCGCTTTCTGGTGGATTGTAGGAGATGTCATTCTCCCTTTGTTTTGTGAACATTGTGAAAACTCGCAGTTGCGTGTCTCATCTACATTCTTTTTGATATAAAGCCACTCCACCTACTACTGTGCTAATCTTTCAAAATGATTTACCGCCTTGCAGAACCAATTTTGCCAGGAATGGCAGGCAGTAGAAAACTTATTTGAGAAAACTGAAATCAGTTTCTACAGCTTTCCCATTGACCAAGGAGCCCACCCCGACCTCCTTTTTATGTTTTTCAAAATGAAAAAATTCTCACTTGTTTAATTTTGCCCCCTTTTGTATAGAGTGGGGTTTCCCCCCACTTGGTCATTTAGTAGATGAAAATTGAGAAGTTAATTGAAGGAAGAGTTACTGTATACTTGGATAAAAATATATCTGAATGACAAGATGATAAATGATTTTTTTTGGTTTTTACTTGATTCAGAATGTTTATATTTTCATTTTACTGTTTAGGCAACTGTTATTGTTGTTGTTGTTAAGTGCCATGGAGTCAATTCGGACTCATGTTGTTGTTGTTATGTGCCGTGTAGTCGGTTCCGACTCATAGCGACCCTGTACAGGGTTTCCGAGGCTGTAAATCTTTACGGGAGCAGAAAGCCTCATCTTTCTCCCGTGGAACAGCTGGTAGTTTCGAACTGTTGACCTTGCGGTTCGCAGCCCAATTCGTAACCACAACGCTACCAGATCTCATGTTGTTGTTGTTGTTCAGTGCCGTCGAGTCGGTTCCGACCCATAGCGACCCTGTACAGGGTTTCCGAGGGTTTCCGAGGGTGTAAATCTTTACGGGAGTAGAAAGCCTCATCTTTCTCCCGTGGAACAGCTGGTAGTTTCGAACTGTTGACCTTGCGGTTCGCAGCCCAATTCGTAACCACTACGCTACCAGATCTCATAGCGACCCTATATAGGGTTCCCAAGAAGCAGCTGGTGGGTTTGAACTGCTGTCCAGTGCTGATCCTACAGCATCACATCAGAACTCCTTTATTTGCCTCGACTGTTGTAAATTGTTTAATAAGCTTATATAGTTTTACATTAAATTTGATGACATGACTCTCAACTTCTAGTCTTAGAGAGAACACTTTTATTTTTATTTTATTATTTTTAATGTTTTCACACTTTTATTTTTAATTTAACGATGTACATGTCATATATTCATGTTGCAAACCTTTCACATTCTGAGTGTAATGTATTGACATGTTTTAAGCCTGCATGGGTACATGAAGAATAGTTTAAAGAAAAAAAAAAAAAATGTAAAAATTGGTACTGTAAAACCTGAAAGTTGCAGAGCCAGGCAGGTTTCAGGCTGAAAATTTCCCAATCCTATCTTATGCTAAATGCCACCCAGAAAAGGGGACATGAGAGATGTTTTTATTTCACTGAAAGCATTTTACATATACATGACTTTTCATTACATTAAAATCAGTCAATCAATAAAGGAAGTGGTGATCATTGTTAGCCAAACCATGAAATGCTTCACTGTGCCTTACATTGAAAATGCTTGGTGTTTGCAAAATAATTAATATTATCAGTCCACTTAAAATAGAATAATTGTTCTCTCTATAACATTTTACAGGGTACAGCCTTTTAGCTTTATATTAGGGAAAAATAAGGGGAACATGCTGAAAAAAACTTTAGTTGCTACTGGGAGTGCAGTAATAACAAATAATATTAGATAATTTCTATAAATTTTTTAATAGAAATTATTTTTATAAATCTTTGGAAGAAGATCCCACCATGTAATTCTTGTCGATTTTTTGTTGTTTAGCTTCTTTATCATCCACCAGATGAGGGTGCCACTGTTTGATTCTGACATAGATGAGTTATCTACTTTAAGGAAAAAGGGAACCTTTTCTAAACTCTCCGTGATTTGAATATGTATTATCTGTAGAGTGGTACAGAAGACAAATGAAAAGTTTGGTTCATTTATCAGAAATATAAATGAAACAATTATTACTAATTACTCAGGCTAGTAGGAGTCCTAGAGTGGCGCTGTAGGATAAGCACTGGATCGCAAGGTCAGTTTGAACTACAAGGTAGGTGGTTCAAACTCACCAGCCACTCCTTGGAAACCCTATCCAGGGTTGCTATGAGTCGAAACCCACACAGTGGTACTTAACAACAACAGGCCATAAAAAAAGCAGGGATTATCTATAATCATAGTGCTTTCAAGATCCAGAAGAGCTCTCTGACCCACCTTGTATATCCATTGCATCCAGGGTTTTAGATGAGATGCTGATGGTAGAGAAGTTGTGACCTTCCTAAGACTACATGGCTAGTTTGAGGCCTTGGTTTGGTGATCTTCATTTATTTTTATTTTTTTGTAGTTTGGGTGAAACTACAGAGCAAATAAGATTTCAGTTCAACAATTTGAAGCCACAGCTGGCTAAAGTGACTCCACCTTGTTAGGAGAGAGGTCATTACTTGGTCTGTTCTTTCCTGGTGTGGCACTGTAGGTTAATGTGCTGGACTGCAAAGGTTTGAACCACCAGGTCAGTGGTTCATGCTCACCAGCCACTCCTCAGAGCCCTGTACAGTCACTATGGGTCAAAACTGACTCGAAGACAATTAACAACAACAACTTTCCTTTAGGCTGATCAGTGTTTAACACTCATCCTGAAGGCTATTATAGGAATAAAGAAGTTCTGGAAGTTCTTCTGAGGGATAAGCACAACTTGAAATAGGCAGAACAAGGAAAACGTTTCTGAAAGGCCTGTGACCTTCAACCTAAGCCTCAACTCACTGTAAATCCACTTTTTCCTTTCTTTTTGGATTGGCAGTCTTTGGCCGATATGACTCTTATTCTCAAAGTTTCAGTCTAGTGAGATAGACCTGGATACCAAAAATTATAGTAACGGTGTATTTTGAGTGTTATGGGAACACACAAGAAGGATATTTCAGACCAGGAGGTTGTTGTTAAGTCTGTTCTGACTCATTCTGACCCTCTATAGGGTTTATGAGGAACAGCTGGTGGGTTTGAACCACCAACCTTGCGGTTACAGTCCAGTACTTATTCTGCAGTACCACATGAAGATATCACACCAGGTGGTAGGCCCAGGGAAAGAAACCTTGAAGACATCATTCACTCGGTGATTTAGAAGCATAGGTTTTGGCTTGAGATATGGGTTTGATGCTGAACTACTTTATACTAGCTGTGTGACCTTGGACAAGTTGCTTAAGTATTGTTATCTTGGAGTTTCTTTATCTGAAAAATAGGAATAATAATGTATGTAAGGTACACTCTCACTGTTGTATTATCCCTATCTGAAGTAGGAGGCCTGGTGTGGTGCTATAGAATAAGCACTGACTGCAAGGTCAGCGGTTCAAATTCACCAGCTGCTCCTTGGAAACCCTCTACAGGGCCACTATGAGTTGGAATCAACTTGACGGCACTTTAACAACAAAGAACGACTTAATGGAGAAAAGTACTTGAAAGAACAAAGCTCAGAGATTTAGAAGTCTGAAATGTTGTAGCAACAATGTCTAAGATAGAGACTATGGGCATCACAACTTGGATTACTAGAAAGAACAGGGATAATTCATTAGGCATCCCCCCAACTTTCTCTCTCTCTTTGCTCTAACTTTCGGAGTAATTATTATTACTCATTCAGGATTCCAGGCATTCTAGAAATGAGAATGCGATATCCTGGCTTCAAATTTTCTCATGAATGGAAAGGATTATTCTCTATGATTAATTAATAAATTGACATTCTGATTTGTACTTTAGCTTCTAATGAATTGGGAGGTTGTTTTTTTGGCTGTGGTGGTTGTGTGCTGTCGAGTTGATTCCGACTCATAGTGACCCTGTATAGGGTTTCTGACGCTATAAATCTGACACTGAAAGATGCGGAAAGTCTCATCCTTTGCCCTCGGAGCAGCTGGTGGTGGGTTCGAACTGCTGAACTTGCGGTTAGCA